CTGCATAAGCATATAACCAGTGTCCCGCTTTATAATCATGTCACTTCGCCAACGCGCTTCAGAACAGGTAATAGGCCATCTGTGCTTGATCTTGTGCTTACCAAATAAGAACATATGATTGATGCGTTGGTTGTAGACTTCCCATTAGGTCCCAGTGCTCATGCAGTTATTAGTTTCAACGTCATCTGCTATGAAGAATACCGAGATGCGATCATGAGACGATGCGAACCATCACATGCTACAGTCGATTTGTCCAACTCCTCAGTGATACAGCTTGGTCGTTCTTTGCCGAAGACCCCCGCATGTCGCCTGGCTCGAGTTCTTAGACCAATTCAATCAGCTGGTTACAGATGCTTCAAAGTTTGCAAACGGTCTGAAACAGTTACGTAAGGAGCAGAATTTGAAAATCGTTGGCAGTACGCAATGCAAAGTGGCGAGAGTACAGATTATCCCCAAGACCAGAAACTTGGGATAATTACGTAGCCCAACGAAACCACCGCACTCAACGGCTCAGAGAGGAATACGCCACACATCAGCAAAACATGACAAAAACCTTCAGCGGCAATCGCAACCTGCTATTTAAGCACGTCAATTGTCTACGGAAGCTGAGGCAAGGATTTCCGCCACTCAAGACAGCTGATGGCTCAACAAGAACGGCTAAGAAAGCAGAAAACGCATTCCAGATGCAATATGTCACAAACGTCCAGAGGGTATTACCATCAGAAGATACCCCAGCATTTATCGCCCCACGGCCGGGACTCACTCACATCACTTTTACCACCGAAGCTATCTTGCAGAAGCAGACCAATCTACGCAAACACAAATCCCCGGATGTCGATACTATTCACCCAGAGGCACTGGGAGCTGTAACAAGTCAACTGACCGAGTCAATGGCTCAATTATTCTAGCGCTGCTTAGACCAGAACCAAGTTCCTGCAATGTGAAATCTTGGAATAACAACATCTAATCACAAATGTGGAAGCGGAACGGAGGCTTCAAACTGCCCCCCAGTTTCCCTTCTCCCTATCCTGTCCAATGTGTTGGAATTCAGCACAGCGGATGCGCTGGTAGTCTATTTGGAAAACACAAACCTTATTATTTCTGAGCAGCACGGCTTCCGTCGAAATCGATCGTGCACAACGAATTTGCCAATAGCGAGGAGTAGTTAGACCCAGTCAGCTGACGCTGGAGGGGATGTTGATGTGACCTACCTGGATTTATCCAAAGCATTCAACCGTCTAGATCATCGGACACGCCTTTCCAAGCTATAGCGTTACGGGATCGGTGACCCACTACTAAGCTGGATCGCCAACTATCTCCTTCAGCTGCAATTGGTGGTCAGATTTCGGAGCACCTTATCTGAACCCATACGTGTTGTATGTGATGTGCCCCAGGGCTCGGTGCTGGGTCCCCGATTCTTTTTGGTATTTATCAATGTCCTCACACAGGTACTTACATCTAACACTTTAGCAAAACTTTCTAGCTTGAGGTTTGTGCGGTCCTGGGTGGCGTTCCAGTTTAAACCAAGAGTACTTTTAACGCAGTTGTCATCAGTTAAATATCGTATTCTGGGAACCTTCAGTTCCATCTCGGACAAATGCGCGATAACCTCGCTTCGATTACTGAACCATATTGTTTAGTGAAATACTCCACTGACCAATATTTGGGTAAGATACCTGACGAATGAATAGTATTAACACTGAAGGGGCTATCATCGACTTAGAAATAACTTCTTACAACTTTAATAACCTCTAATTGGAATTCGCCTGCATTATCTTTAATGGTTTGCTGTAGAGCAAACATTGCACAAGTAGGTGACGTGGTGGCTCCAACCGGATGTACTGTCATGCAATATACAGCAGGAGGTAAGCAGGGACTACCGTTCTTTCAACACAGAAAATCTCAACCAATCCCTGTCACGACTGGGAAACTTGACTTGGCGGAACATTAGTTTACTGTCTGATAGGAGCGCGCTTTGAGCAGAATCTAAACTGCAGAAGAGAACCAATTATATTGTTTGACAAATCGGGACCCTGCGAATGCTGTTGCTTGAAAGAAGTACCGCGGTAAGTAGACTGACCATTCAAAACTATTCGTACTTTACCCGGTTTAGGCGGTTGCGACACTGGTTGATGTGGCAGGTACTAGGTTTCTACTTTGTTCTTCTCCTATTGCAGTGGAGCCCGTTCGGCGTATCCTTTAGCTACATATGCTTGCACTGCCATTGTGTATACTTCGAGCAACATAGCAACCTTTAACAGCCACTTCTTCAACCATGCGAGAATCATCAGTGCTACGTCTCTATTATTTACTAACCGTGGTCTCTCAGCTTGCCATGGTAACGCGATCTCATAATGACCGCCGACTCTTTTTACGGAAGTCTCCATGAGTTTGAGTGCACGTCTGTCGTTCACGGACATGGCCAATCTGGGACTGTCAAAGCCGTCGAAGTCCGTTTCATACATATGTTAGAATAAATGGTGTGATTCAGTAGTTTCGCAGTGAACTGAATTTATCTTCTGTGAGCGATCCACTACAACTGACGCAGATTGATCTTCCTTGAACTCGGGCAGGTTGCTCGGACCCAACACTATCCAGCCCAATGGGGTTCTAACAGCATACGGATCACTAGCACTCCCGCGCCTCTGATCCAAAGCCCAGTGCAGATATGGGTTATCACTTCCGATCAGAAACTCTATCTTCCCCTTCGATTTTAGAAACGATAAGTCGCATAAGTGAGACCATCTGTAGAAGTCACTTCATATTGTGCCCGTTCCGAGTGTTTCAGAGAAAAGACTGACTGACCCGACAGAGTCTAACTGGACTGCCTCATCTTCATCTATCGGCTGAACAGTTACACTAATCGACTTCACCTGGCATCGACCAGCGACGGTACATAGGTTCAGTGTCTTCACGGACCCTTGCACTCCGATATTTTGAAGCAAGTGGGAATCGATCAATGAAGTGTCTGATCCGTTATCCACCAAGGCTAGCGTCCGAACGGTGCCAGCAGGACTAGAGACTAGAACGGGCAATACACCAAGTGAAACAGCAGGTTTTTCGGCATGACTTAGAGCGAAACTAGATCCTTCGGTATTCAGTGTCCCGGGGTTCTTCTTACCCTGATCAGCATGTAGCAACGGGTGATGAAGTAGCCTACAGTTACTTAATCCACAATACTTTCTTGACCGGCAGCTTTGTAAGTCATGGTTCGGTTTGAGACAAAGTTGGCACAATCGGTGAAAACAACAGAATTCTAGACGGTGGTGGTAGTTAAGTTTTCTGAATTCATCACATTAATCTGAATAATGATGTCATTCACAGGAAATGCATTTAGGGTGAGGCCGTTCTACGGATGTTACAGCGTTCGAGTAAGCGACGACCTCGGGGATTTAAGCCGCTACTTCTATCAGTGTTAGCAGTTGATCCGAAGGTGCGTGGCGTCAAAGACAGGTAAGTATCGACGACGTCGGCTGTTTCATCCACGAATTCCATCAAATCAATAAAATTTGGCTCTCTTTCCGTCCGGATGACCCTAGCGGCATGTTCGGCCCACTTGAATTCCAAATGGTTCGGCAGTCCTCTAACTATAGAGCTAATTATTCACGACACGTTCAGATCAGCTTCGTATCTCAACTGCTTCAGAGTTAAGTAACGGGACCGCAGCTCCACAGCTAAACGAGAGAGGGCTACAAACTCATTGGGCTTGATGTTAGATCCAGCAGTTGTAGCATTGATGTGGGTCCTCACTACCATACGATGTCATCTGAAGTGCTTGCGCAAAATACTCATTGCTTCTTCGAAACCGCCAACAGGTTTGAGGACAAAACAGCTTTCGATGGCTTCTTTGGCCTTATCACAGCCGTATTGTATCAAATATGAAGTCGCATCCGAAGTTGTTCGGGTCACGTTGGCTTCAAAGCATCGCATAAAAATCCAATAGCGAGCTGGATCACCATCAAATGTGATCAGCTCTTGCTTAGGGAGACAGGACGTCGTGTACGAAACGAAACAGCTGGATTTGGGTTCAGAAAAACTGTTACTGGCAGCATGTGAATCCAAATGAAGGTCTGCGCCGCGATCTCGAACCTCCGAACCTAAGACTGCCAACGGATCATCCAAACGCGCCACCGACGACATGCGCCGAGCGTAAGTTATCGGCTTTAGAGAAGATGGTCGAAGAGCAACATCAGAAGGAAGACCACAAACATCGTAAGGCAAAGAATCTGTCCATTTACTAATCGGCTGATCCGACGTAACATCGTGCCCAAAACAATCATAAATTGGCCATTTCTAAGCCTGCAGACGCATATTAGTCAGAGCCGACTCCAGCATTCGAATCCAGGTCTCAGCATTCTGAAGATTCTCAGCATCAGTCATTTCAAAAGCAGCACTGCACTACACAACACAAAACAGGAAACTAGCATTAATGTATCATTCAAACATGTAAAAGCTATACGAAACCTATACTAATTAGTCGCATGGTATGAGACCAGAAAACT